TGTTTTAGAATTAGCACAGCCATTTTGCTAGATAAGAGGCAGCAGAATGAAAAGTTGCTTAATTTTGTGTACAGGTGCTATCTTGCAAGACTCTAAAGCAGGGATGGCCTCCAACTATAGATTTGCTGGCCTCTTAACTGCCCAGCCAGAATGCCCAATTAGTCACGGATGATAATAGTTGCAGTTAAGTGACACCTAGAAAACCAAAGAATGAATCCTCGCTCTTGATCTATTCTAAAAAGCTCTACTACTGTGCTGTATGGATTGCAATGGAAGTGGAATCTTTCTGTGTGAATATATTTGTTATGTACTGAGCTTGGATCCTAGAACAATAGGCAGGTAGGATCCTAGAATGGAACAACCTGATTGGCCTGCAGGAGCAGCCCAATCAGGCTCCAGGAGGGAAGCAGAATCAGCCAATCACACGGGACCTATCGTGTAAATAATGTATATAAAGCCAGAGGGTTGGGGGAAAATTCATTCACTGTCTTTATGAGCTTCAATAAAGAGCTACGCGACTCCGAGTATATTTCAGTATTCTTTTCCCAACTTTGAACTGAATACTGAATCGCCTCTAGGGAGTTCCATATGCATATTGGACTACCCCAACGTTTTCCCCAAATTGAGGCAAGTGGCAACAAGTTGTTGAGTTAGCTTGCACATGAGCAAGTGATAGTGTATGCATCTTTGTTTATTAGATCATTCCTTCTCCAGGCTGAGTTTTAAAAAAAGAATCTGACTCTTCTGGTTTGTGTGCATCTAGATCTGGATTGTGGGTGATTACCCTTTGACTAACGGTGGGTATCGCCCATTGAAAGAATGGGCTCAAGGAACCTACTATGATTTCAGTGGGTTTATGGACTCAGTCTGATTTCATCCTGTCTGTAGGAAATAGTATGCGGTAGATAAACCAACAAATTGCAGTATTGTTAAATAGCATTTTGTCTCCAGATTTTCTTGCTTAAATTATAATATGCAAGCAATGCTGATTAGCACAACACCCCCCCCCGACATATTCAATATAAATTGCATTGAATTATCTTTAATGTTGTAAAATATCTAGTTTCTTGGATACATTCCAGGACAGCCAAACTGCATTAAGAGATATAATATACAGGATGGTTTTGAATGTCATTATTTAATTGGCAAATAGATTTTTCTCTTGCCATCAATGGCAAAAGAAGATATTTGATACCAGGGGCTGGATTAAATGTTTTATCAATTTCTCGTGTTTAGGGATCTTTATGGAACAACAAGTTTGTCCCTTGGGCGAGCCCTTGTCAACTGCAATAAAGAGATCCACACAAGTGAGCGAGATGCATTTTTGCAGGATTTACTGTGAGACTGAGATTCTCTGCATTGACTGGGTGCTTTCAGCAGCTGCTCTCTTTGGTGTTTTGCATCCAAAGGATTTTTTAAAAATATAATTTTCTTGCCACCGTGGATTTACAACCAGCTTTTCTTTTCATGGAAGGAGGTGAGTATCTGATGAATACAGATGCTATAGCAGTGACATAGGGTTTTTATTTTACAATAAATACTCTGCAGCCTTGAACTCATAATCAAGTACTTCCTGGTTTGATTCAAGATGCGGTCTCCACTGTAGCGTAGAGAAAATGTAATGCTTACAGATTGCAAGACTGCTCGACTTTATTTAGCTCACTTTCTGTATTCCCTGTGCACCCAACAGGAATCAGGGCATGCAGTTAAATCCTACTGAGGTGTTTTTCTTAAGGAGTGTATCCGTTGCATCTTTAAAAAGGCCAGGTGAATTTAGTTAGGATGTGTAGTATTAGATTAAGGTGTATTGGAAGCATGGTTCTTATTGGTACATAACTTTGATTGGTATTGTTATTAGTTTTAAGTCTTTCTTTTCTTAAATAGTCTTCCTCCTCCAGTTGTATGTATGGAATTAATCACATTCAGAGGTCATTAAACTTGTGTATTTCATAAGCTGGGATTACATTTGGGCATTATACCAGAAATAAATGCTTTCGAGTTTAAAGGAAATATACTGGGAACTGGGAGCATTATTGAAGTTGTAAAAAGAGGCATACTTGGCATGTGGAATTCACTGCCACAATATGTGCTCATGACCACTGATATAGGTGGGCTTAAAAGGAGAAAATTCACGGAGGGTAGGTCAAGCATTGGCTGTTAGCTATTACAGCTGTTTGTATCCTCTGTTGCCAAAGGCAATGCATCTTTTTGAACATGAGGACAAATAGCTGTCATTGTGCTGTCAGCGGCTCTCGGCTGGTTGCCCAGGAAATTATAAGGCCAAGGAAAAGTTTCTTGCCATCCTTTTTTATTTCGATTTTTACAGAGAGAGGCTATAGACTCCAGCCTCTTGGATAATGGCGTTATCCCGAGTGAATCTCCACCACCCCTGCCTCTCCCACTTCTTCATTCTATGGGTGCTGCTACGAGCCCTCTGTCTTCGAGCTCTTTGCTCTCCTACTTTTAAGGCTCGCCGGGTTCTGGGAGATGGTGGGTCTGGAGTGCTTTCTAGTGACAATGTGTCCGGCTCTGCTCGCTCCGCCTCTCCCATGATTTCCCAACTTTCCCCCTCATCTACCTCTGAGCTGTGACCTCCCGCAAACCACTGTTGTAAATCTATACTGTCTTCCTCTTCCTCCTGCCCAGCCCCTGACAATAGCAAAGGCAGGAAAGGCTTCAAAGGAACCAACTCCTAGGTTCCTTTGGCCCTCCCAATAAAATATTTGAGGGAGCCTTTCCCCAAAAGTTGATGGGCATTACTAGTGCATTGGCTGCCCTCTGTGGAATGTCCTCCCATCAGATGTCAAAGACATAAGCAACTTTTTGACTTTTAGAAGACATCTGAAGACAGTCGTGTTCAGGGAAGTTTTTAATGATTTATGTTTTATTGTGTTTTTAATATTTTGTTGGGAGCCACTCAGCCCAGGGTGGCTGGAACTACCCAGTCAGATAGGTGGCATATAAATAAATTATCATTATTATTATTATTATTAGAATGTAGTCTGTGTTTGCAGCACCTTGTGATTGATTATGCAGGGTGGGGCTTTCCTGCCCCCCACCCAATATTTTAATGAGGTTGGCACCCCTGGCTGGCTTCATGCTCTATCGACTTCCTAGAAGAATCTGGCTTGCCACTGCAGAAACATGATAACTCTAGATGGACCTTTGCTCTGATCTAGAGGGCGCTTGCTCTCTTCTTTTTATTTTAAAAAAATGAGTTGCACAAATGTATTCACACACACATATACAATCTGTCTAGTTAAAATAAAGTGTTTTTTTAATTTTTAAAAATTGATTTATCAAATTTGTATACCCCCTCTTCACCCAAAGATCACAGGGTAGTTCACGACATAAAGTGAAAAGCACTTTATGGTCAAACATTGTGCTGATATTTACCGCTCCTAAACATCACAAGTAATAGCCATCACTCAAAGAACTTACTTGGTTGGCCATTACATAGCATGTTAGTTTGGACAGCGTTCGCCCGCTCTGAAACGGTTCTGGCAGTGCCCCGTCCTGCAGCTTTTGCTAGATGTGTTTTTGTCACCATTAGCATATTTGCAATAACTTATACAGAGACCTAAGTATTTTCAGCAACCCGAGAATAGTATTTTAGGTTCTAAAAGCACCAAGTATCTTATGCTTTCACAAATTAAATTTCAGATTGTACACCACGAAGCGTGGATAAACAGGCATTCCTGAAATATGTATATAAAAGGGGGCCCCCTCTTTTTCTGGGCCTTAGATCTCTTCCTTGGCTTGACCCCTCACTAGCTCAGCTTGGTCTCCTGAGCGTTTTTGTCTGGCTGGAATGTATGCTTGAACTCTGATAATTCCTCTTGCTTGTACGGATGGGAGGATAGAGAGGGCTGTGAGAAGAAACTAAAGGTAAAGGTAAAGGACCCCTGACAGTTAAGTCCAGTTGCAAACGACTCTAGGGTTGCAGTGCTCATCTCGCTTTACTGGCCGAGGGAGCCAATGTTTGTCCGTAGTTTTTCCGGGTCATGTGGCCAGCATGACTGAGCCACTTCTGGCGAAACCAGAGCAGAGCACGGAAACGCCATTTACCTTCCCGCCGGAGCGGTACCTATTTATCTACTTGCACTTTGACATGCTTTCAAACTGCTAGGTTGGCAGGAGCAGGGACCGAACAACAGGAGCTCACCCCATCGTGGGGATTCGAACCACCAACCTTCTGATTGGCAAGCCCTAGGCTCAGTGGTTTAGACCACAGTGCCACCTGCGTCCCTGAGGAGAAACTAGCCCACTGCAAAAAGTACATTCGACATTTGTTATTTGACCCATTTTGCCTCTGGCCCCACCTGCCCCTGGTGTGTGGCCCGTGGAAAGTTGCCAAGAAGGGAAGGATTGCCTTTGGCTGGAAAATGCCCACCCATAGTATAAAGTCTATTCTGCGAGCTGGGCATTTCCTTATGCTCTTGTTTTTAAGCTGTGACCCTAAATTCTTGACAATAAATGTCATGGAGCATAATAGGGCATTCAGTCATGAGCACATATATGCCTGTATGCCGTGTGTGTTCCTGCTATGTTCCCTGTAATGTGTGAGAACTATTTTTGAACATGTTTGTGCATAAACCCCAACAGCATGTTCACTCAGTATTCCTTTTGTATAACAGAAAGTTTTCGACCGTGTATTGAAGCATCTGTAAAGAAGGGGGCTAATAACTAAAAGGCTCCGCTAAACTTTATCTTCTTCAGTGTATTGAAGCATCTGTAAAGAAGGGGGCTAATAACTAAAAGGCTCCGCTAAACTTACCATTCAGATGGTGATACTGTACCTCACTTTAAAAAACTGAGATATGAACAAGCTTGATGGCCAGTCTCAATTGTTTTGCTTCTCCCTTCAGCTGAGCCAACAAACAAATCAGGAAGTTTTTCATTAACTTTAGTTTCCTGTTTCATCCAAATTGAGAAACTATGGTTATGAACTTTGGAACAAACCACTATATATAATAAACCAACTTCAAACCATGGCTTAATATCCTGCTTTCTTCCGTAGTTACCCTGTACAGAGAACATAGGCAACTATAGTTAATTGAAGACTTCTGGTTCAATCGCTTGTTTGCATGAAGGAAAGATCAAACTGGCTGTGAGCCTTATTAACTTCTTGCCTTATTTAGCTGAAATATAATTGTCTGAACACTGCCAGTCACACTCGAGTTCCCTAGGACTACTGTAGAGATTTTTTAAAAATAACTTTTTGTAATGTTTCTTCATCAAACTGGATAGTCTGAACTCATTATTCTAGTAGGCATTCCCCGGGGAGGGGAAAGCGAAATAGCATAATAGAATCTTAGAGTTGGAAGGGACCCAAGAGTCATTTAGTCCAACCCCCTGCAATGCAGGAATCTCAGCTATAGCATCCATGACAGATGGCCATCCAACCTCTGCTTAAAAACTTCCACCACCTCTTGTGGGAGTCTGTTCCACTGCTGAACAGCTCTTACTGTCAGAAAGTTTTTCCTGAATGTTTAGTCAGTCAGAATCTACTTTCTTGTGACTTGAAGCCCTTGGAGAGCCAGTGTGGTGTAGTGGTTAAGAGCGGTAGTCTCGTAATCTGGGGAACTGGGTTCGCGTCTCCGCTCCTCCACATGCAGCTGCTGGGTGACCTTGGGCCAGTCACACTTCTCTGAAGTCTCTCAGCCCCACTCACCTCACAGAGTGTTTGTTGTGGGGGAGGAAGGGAAAGGAGAATGTTACCCGCTCCTTCGGGTAGTGATAAAGCGGGATATCAAATCCAAAGTCTCTCTTCTCTCTCTCTTGGTTCGAATCCTGCCCTACAGAGCAGGAGAAAACAAGTGTGTTCCCTCTTCCATGTGACAGCCCTTAAGATATTGTGAGACTGCAGTCAAGTGCAGAGCTATTGGAGTTTGAGGACGGAAATTATTGGGTGTTGGAGAAGTGTTCTGTAAGTTCAGGGAAGGGGTACTGGGATTTGTATGAGAACCAAGCTGGTAAGAAGTAGAGTGGGTGAAGATGGATTGATGAACGGAACAGAAGTGCAGGGCAAGGCTGTTTTATCGAAAGGTTATCACTGCCATGTTAGCGAGTGGATGGATATGGATTTCGCTTATATTGTTAACCACCCACACAGTACAGTTCAATATCCCTCTCTGTTCCTGTTAGCATTTGCTGGGGTCACCGCTGAACACACTTTTGAGCAGTTCCTCCTCTGTGCGAGCTGGAAACATATTTCTTTTCAGGGTTATTCAAGCATGCATCCTTTTATTCTTTCCCGTGAACATATTTATTGTGACTACTGAAAAGTTATCGTTCTCTAAAATGTGTTAAGCCTTCCCCGCTGCCTCTCTCAGGGACATACAGGTATAGAAACTGTTGCTTCAAAAAGACGTTGCTTGGAAATATGGTTGCTGTTGCTTTTTTCTCTCCCTGGAAACCTTGTAGTGTTCTCGTTCTTTCCCAACATTTCGTCGTCCCCCCCTTTTCTTTTTTGAAGATTCGACATTGCAACTTTTTGTCCTTGGCGAGGCCGAAAAAACAAAACAAATGGTGGAGGGCCTTGAAATGTTTACCCTCGTTGCTTTTAAAACGTTTTTTTAAAAAATCAAATATAAACAACAAATTATAAACTGCATTGTTTTTGTACACCTGTGGAGATTTTTGTTTTAAAAATGAGTTCCTTCTTACACAAACGATGGTGTGTCCATTTTCCACACCAGTGCTTTAATCATTTTTTGAGTATTGTAAGATGGCATGGGCAAGAAAATGCAAATAGGCTGTAGAAATGGAAAACGACAACAGCCCTGTGATCTTAAATAGCAAATTTGTGCTATTAGTAGTAATTAGTATTACAACCAATTGATTCTATATTCTTATTAATTAAGTTGAACAACACTTTATATTCATTTACAAATTACGTTCATGTAATACAGGGTGTCTTGTTGTTATTATTGAGGTCAGGTCACCTGAATTTAGCACAGTTAAAATATCACTAGCTCTTTGTATTAGTTTTGTATTAGTTTTAGTGCTTTAGTACTGCCTGATTCTTTGATTCAGTAAATCACTGTGAATAAACAATCATTTGTTAATGTGAGAACATAAAAAAATTGCATTGTGTACTTCTCATCATAATGAGCCCCCAGTTCTGTTTATTATTGTAGAATTCTGTTTTGTTTCTATTCTTGTTAAAGGCGAATGGCTCTGTCCAGAATTTCCATGTTGTAGAATATCCCTATGGAGATGGTGTACAGCATGTGCCTCATTTTTATATATATATATATACAGCTAATAAGATCCTAAATGTGCATTCTGGCTTCTTGGAGACATATTGTAAAAATAAACTATCCAAATGACTGCTTTGCCGAGTGCTTGTGTAGAAGTGTGGAAACAAAGTAATAAATTCCCTTTCCACACCTGAAAATTAATATTGACAGATAGCATTACAAAGGTAAATGGCAAATATCAAAACAAACAAACAATTGCATAGCAGGATTGGTATTTCTTTCCTTTTGCTGTTCAGTATACCATTTCCTTGCAAATTACACTAAAGCTGAACATTTGCAAAATCACCTTGGTACAGGATTTGTCCTTTCAACCTATTCCCATAGCTGCACCTTCCAGCCCCAATTGCTGTCTTGCTTCTTAGTTCTTGCTGTCTTTTTATACTTTCTTTGGTATATTTGGTTCATAAAATCACAGCCAGAAGTGCAAGCGTTATTATAATAAAACAAGTCATGCCTACCTTACATTTTGTGTCATCACCTAGGATATTGTGTGCTCAGTATTATCACTTGTACCATAAGAAGGAAATTAGAGCATGTATTTTCCACATGGAGAAATCAAATGTAATCTAAATGCAAACCACGAGTTTTATTGCATGGCAGCCTTTGATAGCAGCACTGCTATTACTAATTCCACTATGACAAGAGTACATTGTAGTCCAGAAGTTTCCAACACTGTTTTTTGTTTTTGTTTTTTTATTGCTTGGTTTTGGTGGTTTTTGTGTGTTTGTTTGTTTGTTTGTTTGTTTGCCTTTTAGCTTTGCAAAATCAACAGAATTTGGTCCTAATAAGTCAAAGAGTATTTGGCAATCATTTGCTCAAAAAGCATCAGCATTGTAGCCCAATGCCGTGAAAAGTAGGCAAGAAGACTAAATTATTTGGTACCATAGTAACTGACCAAAAGGCATGAGAGCTTTTATGTCAATTAAGGTCTGGTGTCCTGCCAACATGAGATGATATTCTTAAATAGATTACTTACTTCATTTCCAAGTTTTCCTCCATACTGTGGCTCAATTAAACTAAATATATCAGTGTGGCGTAATGACCAATTAATGTATTGTCATGTGTTTGTGAGATACACACAGAGAAAGACAGAGAAAGCGCTTTTATGGATGTCTTCTTTTATGCAAAAACAGAAGATAATTGTTGTTGTAAATTACTGCTGAATAATTAACATAAGAGGTCTCTGGTATTGCTTCCCCTGTCCTGTTTTAGAAGAGGTAGCTAATCAATGTTAGTGTATTTCATAAGGTTGTACAATTTTTTGTGAGCATTATCTCAAAATACGAAACACCTGTAGACTCTACCTCTTGACAAATTCATTAGTCCGACGCAATTCATTGGTATAGTTTTTTTCCCTGCAGATGTTTGATTTTATTTACTTATTCATAAAAGTCTTTATAGGCTTCCTTTTTCGGACATGGCTGGCTCACAGAAGTGTCTTGCACATTATAAAAACACAGTGCAGATTAAAATGACCAAGTTAGCAGTATTAACAATAATTTAAAAACATTGTTAAATAGATAAGACAATATAAATATCAGCAGTTTAAAAAAAAAATCACCAAAGAAGGAAATAAATCATGTCACAAATGAGGCTGGTTTGGGTGGGAGTATTGCTCACAGGCAGTAGCCTCTGATCTTGGGACAACAGGACCCAGAAAGAATGGATCTCCAAGAATTTCGGACCATCATTCTTTTCTCTTTGCTTCTTTCCCATCCTCCCTCTGTGACTGGCAGTTTCATTCCACCTCTCTTTTTAGCTTTGTAGATTCCACTGACTCCACTGCAGCTATTTCATGCACAAAAGGGAACAAAAATGCTCCAAATAATTAGGGCCTTCCTTCAGTTCAGATCCAGCATCAGCACCTATTGTCTTGTGGAAGATTCTGGAGCCTCAGGGCTCAAGAAAGGTCCATAGCTTACTACTGCTGTGGCAATTTCTGGTTGCCATCTTGGTTTTCCTTCCCCCTTTTTTTTATGACAATTTATTAATTTTTCAAAAAATAACATAAAAATAAACAATAAAACAACAATATATAAAGAAAAATAAAAAGAGAAAAAAGATTTTAAAAAACAAAACAAAAGAAAAAACCATCATAATCAAAGATTTTAAACCATAATTTTTGCTTGACTTCCCTCCCCTCCCCCTCTTGGTTTCATTGTTTAATTTTTTGTTCACACACGTCCTTATAACCTTAATAATCAATTTTTTTAGACCCTGTTCATCTTAATACAAGTGAGTTTTTAAAAGTTATACTGACATAAAAGTCTATACACAAAGCTTTAAAAATGGGCATTAAACCTTTACCCCTTTTTTATTATTCAAAGTCCTCTTTCTGTCTTGGGTACTACGTTAACTAGTTTATCCTGTATATTTCAATAGTTTAGTTTGCCAGCCATCTTGGTTTTCCTTCCAGTGGTCTAGAGGTTTAGTTGTTCCAAAGCCCTATTCGTACTTACTGGCATACCCTCCTTCATTGCGCTTTGGGAGAAAATTGTTAGGCCCAGTTTTGGCAGAAAAACTGCTTTGGTCACCTTGTATGATGACCTCTGTCAGACCCACAAGCCCTGAAGCTGGCCTCATTTAAACATATATATAACATTATTACCTGGGCTGCCAAGTGAAGTGTCATGTCAGGTGATTGTCACCACTATCATCCTTCTAAGTGCTTCTGAACTCTGCCCCTGTGGTACACTACATCACTGGGTGGGAGCCAGAGGCACTGGGATAATGAATATGGCGACTGAAGCTGCTAGGCCTAGTGGGTTTTTTCACCATTCAAGTGAAGGGTCATGCCACCAGCTTTGCTTGCAAAAGGTTCCAGGCTCAATCGCTAATATCTCAGGTAGGGCTGGGAGAGACTTGGTGTTTAAAACCCTACATAATAAGAACATAAGATTACCCATCAGATAAGATCAATGGCCCATTTAGTCTAGCATCCTGCTCTCACAGTAGCCACCCAGAGGCTTGTGGGAAACTCTTAGGCAGGACCCAAGTACAAGAGGACTCTCCCCCTCCTGTGGTTTCTAGCAACTGGTGTTCAGAAACATTGCAATAAACCTTGGAGAGTTGCTGCTCATCAATGTGGATAATGTTGAGATAAGTGGGTCAGTGGTTGGATTCAGTATAAGACAGTTTCCTGTGTTCCTGCTCCCCATGCCCTTTAACCCCTTGGGGCCAGTACAGTGTGCCCCTGAGTACAGTGGTACCTCGGGTTAAGTACTTAATTCGTTCCGGAGCTCCGTACTTAACCTGAAACTGTTCTGAACCTGAAGCACCACTTTAGCTAATGGGGCCTCCCGCTGCTGCTGCGCTGCAGCTGCACGATTTCTGTTCTCACCCTGAAGCAAAGTTCTTAACCTGAAGCACTATTTCTGGGTTAGCGGAGTGTGTAACCTGAAGCGTATGTAACCTGAAGCGTATGTAACCCAAGGTACCACTGTAGTTGTAATGCAGTTTGCTTCTTCTCATGCAGAGTACACATGTTCCATGGGGCCTCTTTTAAAAGACTCACCCTGTATATTTACAGTGGTACCTCTGGTTAGGAACTTAATTCGTTCTGGAGGTCCGTTCTTAAGCCGAAACCGTTCTTAACATGAGGTGCGCTTTCGCTAATGGGGCTTCCCGCTGCTGCTGCGCTGCCAGCACGCGACTTCCACTCGCATCCCGGGGCAAAGTTCGCAACAAGGGTTAGCGGAGCTCGTTACCCGAAGCATTCGCAAGGAGGACGGTACGTAACCCGAGGTTCCACTTTATGTAGGGTTGGCTTTTATGAAATTGAAAGCACTGTTATAAATATCTCAAATCTTAATCATAAATTAGATCAGTTGCCAAGGCTATCTAAATAATTGGCCATTGAAAATATCACACTGTTCGCTTGCTCTTGCATTTTACAAATTGAAGCATATGGAGCCATTTTCATGCAAACAAATGTGTGTTGCATCTTGATTGCCATAGAGATAATGGATTGATTCCCCCACCCCACGATGATCTAAGAATCAATGCAATTATATTTAGCCAACTTATTGGTTTATTTGTACATGTTTATACTGCTTAATATAATAAATATATATCTAAGGAGTTAGCATAAAAGCGTTAATATTTCTCGTACCAAAAAATCCTTAAAAGTGAGATAAAGCCACAACAGAACTGTGTTTCAGAAATAAAACTGAGCAGTGTGCAAAACAAAACGAAAGATTAAGGGAAGCCTGGATAAACATATAGTGGTTTTGTTTTTGTTTTTTTAATAGAAATTTAAAGGTCATTACTGTCTCCGTGAATTATCTGAGAGAGGGCATTCCAGAGGGTGGGTGCTTTTCGTTGAGAAGGCATACTTCCACATGATCACCAAGTGACAATCAATCCACACTGGTCATGTAAAATTTTAATAAGTGAATGGTCAGCAGAGTCTCCTCAGAAGACCTTGAAGATGGGCTGGGTCCATACCACAAGGGAGGCAGACTCCTAGGTTATCCTGATCCCCACATGGCTTACAGCTTCAAATGCCAATAAAACCTTCAACTTGGCTCTTTAGTAATAGGCAGCCAGGAATGGGGAAATATGTGTAAAGCATGGGTAGCCCCACATACAGTGAATTACAGTAGTCTACTTTCTCCAGCGGAAAAGTTAGAGGAACCAGCTAAACACCCAAGCAAAAGCAATTTCCGTCTCTGTGACTGTGATTGTACATTTTCCATTATTTTGGGGAAAGAATTCAAGCCAGACCAGTAATTGGTTGCTATTTACATAAGTGTTGATGTGGAAACATACAAATCTCTCCCACACTACCTCCTTTCATGCATTTATGTCTTGGCTCCCTGAAGTACGGGTTTCTGTCATATTCAATATTTGTTTTTGGTTCTATTTTTTTCTTAGCTATTGTTTTAAAAATGTATAGTGGGCTTCTGAAGAAAGCCAGAACTTCAAATTATATATGTATATAAAACAAATTCCCATGTACTTTTATTAGAATCATAGAGTTGGAAGGGACCTTGAGTGTAATCTAGTCCAACCTCTGCAATGCAGGACTATGCAACTGTCCCTTATGGCAATCAAATCTGTAACCTTGGTGGTATCAGCACCGCGTTCTAGCCAACTGAGCGGTCTTAATTTCTTCAGTACTTGCTGGTCCAACATGTTGGAGTTGCTCAGGCTGAAATCTAATATACTCATAAACTAGGCTGACAGCCTTCAAAGAATGTATTTCTAATAATAGGCAAGGCCAATGTGGTGCATTCCAGATGTTTTGCACTGCAACTCCATGAGCCCCATTTGGCTTTGTCAGGAACACTGGGAATTGTACTCCAAAACAACTAGAGGGCACCATGCTTGCTACCCGTGTGTGTGTGTGTGTGAGAGAGAGAGAGAGAGAGAGAGAGAGAGAGAGAGGGAGAGTTTTACAAGTTTAAATGAGTCCTCACCCCTTTCTAGGGTTGGTTGAATTTCCTCACTTCCATTTTGTGAGTTCTGTTGATTTGTTGGAGGTTTCAACGCTTCCTGTCTTCCGATGGTTCATAGAAAATTCCCCTGTTCACGGCATTAGTGTGTTCACAGTTCGATTTGCAGGTTTTTCCACATGTTGTTTATCTTTCCCCTTTCAGATAAGCCACATGCACAAACCATTGTGCACAGTAAAGTATCCGACATTTTGTTGTTCTCGATCACATCATCGTTCTTTTAATAGCAGCTTCTGTTTCTTCCCTAGTACTCATCTAGTTCCCCATTGAAAAATATTTCTGACTTACTTGTCACCATTGCCATATTTTAGCAAACATTAAAACATGACACATTTTTCCCACTTTGGGGCATGCAATTGCACTTCCTTTACAGGTTCTCTTTCAATTGATTAACTTGCAGGTATTCCTTTAGGTAGTTGCCTTTTCATGGACCCTTTCTTCGGTGATGCCAGGCGACGACAGCAGCCCTCCACGTAGTGCCAGGATGCTGGGCATAGCTTGCCATTCTAATTTCCTACAATGCTGATGTAGCATTTTCTTCAACTGTTTCGGCAAATAAAATGGCAGCTGGGCTTAGCTTACCAGAGGCACTTGGAGCATGAGGCCATGTCTAGAGTGGTGAAGCCTTAGCAGATTCCCAGATCTGCCAGGTGCTGTTGATCCCAGCCATTATCTAGATGACATTTAGGCCTGCTTAATACATCATGTTGTAGAAACTTGTGCTTAGTGCATTTTTGTCTTTATAGCCAAACTGATAGGATTTTGAAATGGTTGCAGATGATTCAGAACTACTACATTTTTCTAGTGTATTATTTGCATGTTGCAATTGTTTTATTGGCTCCCTGTTAGGCAAATTATTGATTGTTAAATGGCTGTTTTACTTGCCATAATTTTCTCTCCTTGCAGTTAATGGTTGTTCTCTCCTAACATTACTTCCTTATTGCTCCTTCAACGAGAAACAAGAGAGGTGTGTGTATGGAGAGAGAGAACAGGTTTTATAATAAATTCTCATACTCACTACTAACCCACTGATATCTTCAGCTCACCCTGCAGAATTATTACATTGATGGAAATGCCCAAGAGCAAATAAATGAAGGTCCTGGAACTGGAAATTGAAAAATGTATAGGATTGCACAATTAATTTTTAATAAATATGATAAATACATTAGAACATATTAAGGATGAAAACAACTGTCTACTCAAGTTTTTGTTACAAAATATTTTTCTATAAATAAAAACTGGAAATATTAAAATAACTGCTGGGGGAGGTGAGATGACAGCTAATGCTAAAAAGTAACGTAGGAGATGGACAAGAAGGTAGGGTAGAAAAAATGAAAACAAGAGGAAAATGGGAACATTTGGACCCTTCACTATTGGCTAAACTCTGCCCCTTGACCTTAAATTCAGGGTTCAGATCTTAGCAGATAGTCAATAACATATTTTGTATTTGGTTTCTCAGCCTTTTATTACATAGATAAGGTAATTTCTGCCTTTGAGGGGAGCTATGAACTGAGCCGAGCCACTGTGTCTAATGGGAAATA